TTTGTTGATTTGTTGTGAAATGTTTTGATTATTTTCTTTCATTTTGCATATTCTGTAAGTATTTTCTTTGTGGTTAACACTGTGATTATTATAACTCTAAGATGTCTAATATAATCTATTTTAAACTGATACCTTAAATAAACTTTGATACTAAAACTCTACTCCATTACAACTCCACCTTCCTACTTTGTTAATAATTTAACAAGTTATATCTTTATATATTATATACCCATTAACATCGATTTATAGCTTATTCTTTTATGTTTTAGTTCTATACAATAACTAAAAGTGGACTTATCTACCAAATTATAATAATACAAGTCACTGTATTTGTCCATGTATGTACCTTCTTCAGAAGAACATATTTTCATATGACTTTGTATAACTATCTAGTGTCCTTTTTTCACCTTGAAGGATTCTCTGTAGCATTTCTTATAGATCAACTGAGTGGTAATAAACTCCTTCAGCTTTTGTTTTCTTTGGGGAAGTAGTAATTTCTCCTCTTTTGAAGGACAGTTACATCTGATATAGAATTCTTAGTTGACAGGTTTTTCTTTCAGCATTTTGAATATATTATCCCATTGCCTTCTAGCCTGCATGATTTCTGCATAGGAATCCACTCATAAACACACAGAAGCTTGCTAATATGTGATGAGCCTCTTTACTCTTACTGCTTGCTCTCAATATTCTCTCTTTAACTTTTGATTTCAGTTTGGATTTGGGTTCCTTTAGGTTTATCTTAGTTCAACTTCATTAATTCTCTTGAATTTCTATGTCCATTTCTTTCCTTAGATTTGGCAAGTTTTTGGCCATTATTTCTTCAGATAACCTCTTTGTCCCTTTCTCCTGTTCTTCTGTGACTCCTATAATACATACACTGTTTGATTTGGTGGTATGCTGTAAGTCCATTAGGCTTTCTTCACTTTCTTCATTCTTTTTTCTTTTTCCTCCCACTTCAATGATTTCAAATGACTTATCTTGAAGTTTTCTTTCTCCTGTGTTATCAAGTCTGCTATTGAAATCATTGAATGAATTTTTCAATTCAGTTATTGTATGTATGTGCTCCAGAATTTGTTAGTACTTTCTTATTATTTCTTTTTGTTTATATTCTCATTTTGTTCATGCATCAGTTTCCTGATTTTATTTAGTTGACTTTGTGAGTTATCTTTTAGCTTATTGAACATATTTAAGATGTTTGTTTAAAAGTTTTTCTCAGAAAGTGCAAGTATCTGAATTTCCTTAGGGTTGGTTTCTGGAATTTTATTTTGTTCTTTTTTCTTTGTATGCCCTGGGATCTTTTACTGAGATTTTGTCATTTGAAAAAAGAGCTATCTTACCTAGTTTTTAAGGACTGAACTTCTGCAGGGGAAGAACTTCTTCAGTGAGCCTGGTTGAAGTTTCTGGGACCTCTTAAACCTTCTCTGCCTATGTGTCTTCTCTGGGCTTATATATGTACTTTTAAATGCCTTAATTTTCCTAAGCTGCTTGCTCCTGTTTCTTCTCTAGTACCCATAATTCCTTGTACCACACCCCCCATTTCTGCCTGCTATATTGCAGAATCTCTGTACATGCTACAGTCTCTAACATGCCATAGTACTCTCTGTTTTCATTGACTTCCAAACTATGTTCCAATTACCATTAATTGTCTGAGTTAAGTGAGAGAGAAATTACTTCTTTGAATCGAAGTCAGAATATTATATGCATGGTATGTTCCCTCACGAACTCTTCAGGTTCCTGGACCTGATTCCAATGTGTGTGTGTGTGTGTGTGTGTGTGTGTGTGTGTGTGTGTGTGTGTGTGTGTGAGGGATTCTTCCCAGGCATCACAACAAGAAATTCTTGAACACCAGCAGGATGTCCAAGAACTCAATTAAATTCTGATGCTATCTGCCTGGAGACAGCACCAGATTCCTCAGATTAAGGGCTGTGTCCTACAAGACTGCTCTTTACCCCCCCTGCAGATACCAGCCCTAAGCTCCAAGCTGTTACCTGTGCTGTTGACTGACTGACTACAGATAGGAGGTTCCAACAGTCTCCCCCTTAGGTTCACTGCTTTTGCTAGAAGAGCTCACAGAATTCAGGAAAACAGTCAGATTTACCAGTTTAATAAAGGATACTATAAAGGATGTAATAGATAAAGAGATACATAGGACAAGGTCCCAAATAAAGCAGCTTCTGTCTTTGTGCTGCTTGGGGCTGGCTAAATGGCATATGGAAGCTGTCTCCAACAGAGAAGCAGTATGCAAAAACAAGGGAAGATAGGCTCTTCTCATGGGTTTTTGTGAGGCCTTCATTGCAATGATGAATGACTAAATCACTGGTCATTGGCTGGCTCAACCTCCAGCCCCTGACCTTGGGTGGAATCCAAACATCTCTTACTAACATGACAAGACATCCATTTCACCTTTAAGGCATCTGAATGACCAAATATGCATTTTTTATAACTCACTGTATCACACATGATCTACTCTTTTGTTTTGTCCCAAGAGATGACCTGGGTTATGGAGGGTTTCCTCCCAGTTGCACTGTACTATGCCAAGTTAGGGGGAGGGACATGCAAAAAGTCATAAACTTTCTTGTCTCTTGATTGAGTCCCTCCTTCGTTATGCATTAGATTGAGTGTACAATTTCTCATCTGGTGTCCAGAATTTGCACAGTGGTGTCCTAATCCATATATTGTTAAAATGCTGTCTCTGTTGGGGGAAGTGAGGGCTTGGTTCTCTGTAGTCTACCATCTTATTGATGACCCAAATAGTTATGCAGTGAATATGTTAGGATATTTTCATTTCTTTTCCTCTCTTTTTCTTAGGATTTTCAACATTTGTGACCATTAAATATTATAACTTATAATTTTCTCTGCTAGTATTTGTTATGGCATGAAAATTCCTCCTTTTGTAGCAGATCTGTTTCATGGATAGAGGTGTGGGAGTGTTACCCATTAACCTGTATCAGGCACAGACAATATTTTTTTTGTAAATGAATGTGAATGACTTTATTGTTTATATTATTCATAGTCCACTTACACAGAGGCAGAGTGTTTGCACCGGAAAGTAGTATTATTGGATTAGAACCAGGAGCTCTAATCCTGGTACTGTCTGTGCCTTACTCCTCTCATTTGTAGAATGGATATGTTTTTTTCTCACTGAGTGGCTTTTAGGATAAAGCAAAATGTGTGTGAAAGCATTTCAAAATGCACAACACTATACAAATGCAAAGGTTATTTTTTTGTTTCTGAATTATTTTCCAACCAATATGCTTAATATGCATTTCCCTTGCATTTTAACCTGTATCGTTCTCTTAGATTTACCAAAGGAACTCTGTGGTCGTCACTTGTACCAATATTCGGAATACATAAGCCGTTGGAGCACAAACATGAAGTTTTGATTGTAGCAGTACATTGGGACTTCAAATAAATGTTATAAGTTTTCAATAATTTATGTATCAGTATGCTAATATCTTTTGTAATTGTAGTGTAGTCAATATACAATATTATATTGGTTTCAAGTATACAATACAGTGATTAAATAGTTATATACATTACTAAATCATCACTCCAACCAGTGTAGTTACTGTCAACATAGAAAAATGTTACAGAACTTGCCTGTATCCTCTATTAGTACTTTCATCCCCATGACTAATTTATGTTATGACTCAGATTTTGTGCCCCCTTTTTTTTCAACTTTTCCGTTCCCCATGTTGTGCCTATTTATCCCCTTCACCTACTGTATACACCCAGCCCAACCCCTCCTCTATGGTAACCACCAGTCACTTTTCAGTGTCTCTGAGTCTACTGCTTTTTTGTTCATTTTGTTTTGTTTTGTTTATAGATTTTACATATAAATGAAATCATATGGTATTTATCTTTCTCTGTCTCATTTATTTCACTTAGCATAATATGCTAAAATTACTTTAGAAACATATTTGTGAAAGGCTCATAAACACTGGTAAAAAAAATAATTCCATGACTGGTTAGCCAGAGACAGGTAAGATTCCTCAAGGGAGGAACAACCTAAGACAGGCACAGTCGCAGGGGGGCCATCAGGTGAGAAATTGGGGATCAACAGAGGTGAGGCTCAGAACCTCACCCCCCTGTTTTGAGAGAAATCTTCTGCATCCGTGGATGTTTTGTTGCCCTTGTCTAGCTTGGATTAATACTTAGTGTATAGGCACACACCTGATCATCTACGTTTGCCCTCTTATAGCACTAAACTATGTTTTCCAGCTTTATCTTGCATCTACCTACCACTTCAGCATTTTATTAAAAAAAATAATAATAATAAGGGAGAAATGTGGGATTCACATATAAATCAAGAGTAAAAATCAAACGAATATTCATATTTGACCTGATTGTTTATAGTTCATGATGCGTGATCAAAACCAAAAGTTTCTGTGATGACTGCCCTTGCACTGTTCACCATGTAAGAACTTATTCACTATGTAAGAATTTGTTCATCATGTAAGAATTTGTTCATTATGCTTCAGAAGATTGGAGACTGTTGAGAGTTGGGCTTGGGGTTGATTAATGATTGTGCATTGAGTCCCCTATCCAGAATTTTATTGTTGTTAACAACCATTTGATCAATAAATATGAGAGATGCCCTCTCAAAAAAAATAAAATAAAAATAAAAGGAGAACTGAAAACCCTCCTATCCCTTAAAAAAAAATCATTCCAGGGCAGATAAAAGTTGGTAATATTCAAGTGAATGGAAACTTTTATTATATTTCATAATTATTATATTACCATTATTTGAAAAATATATTTGTAGAGAGTCCCCAGACTTATCTTTTATAATAAAAATTGGTGACAAAGAGGAGTGGGTATATTAAAAAGTTGTTATTATGTTCTACAGATTAATATGATTGTCTTAATTAATTTAGATTTGTGTATTTAATGAATGAAGCTAATTCTCTTCATTATCAATTTCTACTGTATCTTGATTTATACTCTTATTAGAAATCAGCTCATTGTCTATATCTAAGTATTCTCTTAATTTATTACAGACTGACACCTTCTCCCTAGAAGCTGTGCACCTTGGGGATTTGTGTAAGATTGTCATAGGCCATGATGGGCTTGGGCCAGGTAAGAGTCTTCCACAGAGAGGCAGTCTGATTCTGCTCTATTCGTGTGAAGCCCTTGTAGAAATCTAGAAAATAATTTTCGAAAGCTTGTAATAAACTCATCTCTAGGTATTGAATATGTGAAATTAAAATATTGTCTCCAAGTATTTTTTTAAATTTTGAGTAGAGATGTTTTTCTTCAAAATGATACAGGTTTGTCCAAGTGGATGCTCTGCCTAGAATACTAGAAAGAGTAATGCACAAAAATTGGGGGAATTTGGGATTTGTATATTATAGCATGTGGCAGCATTCCAGCATACTAATAGTAGATATAGCAGCAGTGTCCACTGGCAGTGATTTTTCCATGAATTGCTAGTAGTGCTCACAGTGGCACATTAAGGAGAATGTCCTGGCAGCAAGCTCTCAGTTCTGTTTTCTTCTGCCATTTTGTTCATGCTTCTTCCTCAGTTTCCCCATCAGATCTGCGAGATGACCCCAGCTTCCCAATAAATTCATTTGCTGTGTAAAACAAATGCTGTATAAAACATTGCTATGTAAAATAACCATAAGATAAATAAAATCCTTTAACAATAGACAAGCACTTAAGTGCATGTACCACAAAATGATGGAAAACCAAAAAGCGCCAAACAAGACAATAAATTCTTTTGTTAAAAAGTATGTATTTAAAAGTCTCAAAATGTTGAAAACCAGTTTCTCATACTAGTATATAGGGAACATGTGTGTAAATAATTAGGAAATTAGCCAAGTGTCAAAGCTTGTTCAAAGTAGATTACACAAAACTGAAAAATGTATATTTATAACCAGTGAAAACAAGAATGATGAATAAGATTGATAAATTAAAAATATGGTTAATTATTTAAAAATAATTAAAATAATAAAACCCTTAATATCTTCATAAAAAAACATACCTTTGAGCAAAATTCATTTGTATTTTGACCAGACCCAGATCTTTTGTATCTTATTTTTATGTGAGTTGATACGCTATTTTAGAATCTGGGCCCTAATCTATAATAAATAGAGATACTAAATCAAATAACATTATTCTTCAGGGAGTCAGGACTCTTAGGAATGCTTAGATGGTGCTCTAGTACATTAAAAGGACATGTTCATGTGCCCACTTACATATGAACTAATTCAATTTTTTTTGTTAGTGTTTTTGTTTCTAATTTGAGTCCAATAAGTAACATCGTCTGCTCATGTCCTTGTGGAAAGTGGGTCCCACAGGAAGGGTCCCAGCACCCAGTGTGGGAGTTGGAGGCAGAGACTTGGGAGGCCTTCAGGCTCAGTACCCACAATGAGTAAGAGTTAGAACTAATTCAATTTTATAAATATTTTTGGTGGATCTGCTATGTGCAAAGTGCCCTACTGAGTATTTTCTGTACTAAATACAAGGATGACCAAGATGGAGTTCATGCCGTTGAGTCCACCAAGAGATAGCAAGATGATTTAAATCCTAAAAAGTTGGGGATAATGTTTTGCTCCCTGATTCTAGTTGAGAGCTCCAGTCCTGTTTTTCTTTCGCTCCAAATTCTGATTTTCCCAGTTTATCCAGTAAATGGAATTTCAGTAACTGTGATGTCATTGTATGACATAGAGAAAAGAATACTAGAATTTAAGCCAGCATCATAATTTTGAATCCAGGCCCTATCACCTGTCAACTTTTTGATCTTGAGCAAATCAATTAATTATCTCTGAGCTAAAGTTCATACTCTGTATAATATTAATACCTCATATAGTTATTGTGAGGATCATATGCAATTGTTTATGATCAATGGCAAATTGGTATGTATTTGGCTATAAATTACCAGTAGAATCATTAGAATTTTTAAAATTACATTTTCAATACCATTTGAATGATTTTTATAAAATTAATGTATTTTCTTCCATTTCTATGTTTTCCCTACATGTATTTTAAGAACTAAAAATTTCTCTTATAATCTTGCTTTATCTCTTCCTTTTCTGTTAGATAATATTTATTTATCTAACAGCACTTTTGGAGGTTGTCATTGAGGGAAATGACCAGGAAAGCAGGATTAAATTACAGGTTTTTACCACTGGTCAAAATAAGAAAAGGGTATATAGAGGTATTCAACATCTACTACTTTACCTTATCTTGCTATTTCTCTTGGATTCATTCAGCCAACATTCAGTGAATCTCTACTATATGCAACTTACTAATTGTCTTAAGAACAGAAAAGTGTCTCCCCTATATGTCCACCTTTCTTCTGTCACCCTGGGTATTTGGCTTCATAAAGTGTAGTGCCAATTCTGTAGGGAAATAGAACTTAAGCATCTACCAAGTCCTTTGCTCCATGGACCAAAGGTGGTTAATTCCTGTTGTTATTTGGTTGTTTTTTTAACTTAATACTATTATTTTTAATTTATGCCCATTTTATAATTCAGGAAGTAACAAGATTCTAAGAACACTTTCTGAAATATTCTCAACCTACTTCACTCTTGCTATTATCTCAGAAAGTCTTAATCAGAATTTCCTCAAGCAGTCATTATTTGTTTTTAAGATGCAGTAACACTGAATGTTACTGAAGAAATTTTAATAGGACTAGACTGCAAAGAAGTTTGGCAACACTTGTTGGGTAACTGGATAAATTACTGTGTGTTTTAATAATTAGGAGTGAGAATCTCAATGGTTAAAATTTACTAGTAATCATTCTCATAATTTCCCTTAATTTCCAGTCCTTTTAATAGCATCTGAGAGGGAGATTCTTCAGGACAAAAAGGGTATTTAAAAATGATAAAAAATTTTAAACATGTGGTAACATTTTGTGGCAGAGGGAAATTTAAATACGGAAAGCAACATTGGAGGGGTAATGCATAAAAACAAAGCATACTTATTGAAGTACCACACATTATGTGCACAAAATTCCCTCCTGTGAAGACTATACACTATACTGTGAGTATGTATACTGCATGTTTACAAACTGCTGTAGTTTTTCATATGTGAGACTTAACTTATCATAAAGCATTTTGAAACTATTACTTTTTATTGTTAATGTGGTGATAGTTTTGCTCTTCTAACTTAAAGATCTCTGTTCAGTGTAGGCAAAGCATTATTTTTGAGGAGGTATCTGAAAAAATTGTCTGCATTTGTTTGAAGGAATTGAGTAATGCTTAATGTAGAAAGTATTTTTAGTAAATGTGGGATGTACCAATTGATAATTTATTAAATTAGTAGAACTACCCATCAAAAATGCCCACTTTAACCACTTTTATTTAACATAATATTGGAACTTCTAGTCAGAGCAGTTACAACAGAAAAAGAAATTGAAGACATCCAAATCAGAAAGGATGAAGTGAAACTGTTACTGTTTGCAGATGAGATGATGTTATATATAGAAAATTCCAAAGATTCACCAAAAAACTTATAAAACTAATAACCAAATTCAGTGAAGTTTCAGGATACAAAATCAATATACATAAATTGGTTGCATTTCTCTATACTAATAATTAGCTATCAGAAAGAGAAATTAAGGAAACCCATCTACAATTACATCAAGAAGAATAAAATACCTAGGAATTTAACTAGGGAAGTGAAAAATCTATACACTGAAGACTGCAAGACACTGATGAAAGAAATTAAAGAAACACAAATGAATCTATGCTCATCGATTGGAAGAATAAATATTAGTAAAATGTTCATCCTATCCAAAGCAACTTACAGATTCAGTGCAATCCTTATCAAAATTCCAATGGCATTTTTTACAGAAATAGATACAGCAATCCTAAAATTTATATTGAACCACAAAAGATCCTGAATGGCCAAATCAGTCTTGAGAAGAACAAAGCTGGAGGTATCATGCTTCTTGATTTCAAACTATATCATGGAGCTGTAGTAATCAAAACAGTATGGTACTGGCATAAAAAGAGACATGCAGATCAACAGAACAGAATAGAAAGCCCAGAAATAAATTGACACATATTCGGTCAATTAATTTACAATGGAGAACCAAGAATATACAATGGATAAAGGATAGTGTTCAATAAATGCTGCTGGGGAAACTGGACAGCTACATGAAAAAAAAATGAAACTGGACCACTATGTTACACAACACACAAAATAAACTCAAATGGGTTAAAGACTAGAATGTAAGACCTGAAACCATAAACTTCATTGAAGAAAACATGGCTGGTAAGGTCCTTAACATCAGTCTTGGCAGTGATTTTGGATTTGACACCAAAAGCAAAGGTGCCCAAAGCAAAAATAAACAAGTGGGACTTTGCTTCTGGAAAGCAAAGGAAACTATCAACAATATGAAAAGGCAACCTACTGAATGGAAGAAAATATTTGCAAATCATGTATCTCAGAAGGGGTTAATATCCAAAGTATGTAAAAAACTCATACAACTCAGCAGCAAAAAACCAAGTAATCTGATTAAAAAATGGGCAGAGGATCTGAATAGACACTTTTCAAAGAGGACATACAGATGACCAACAGGTACATGAAAAAATACTCAATGTCACTGATCATCAGGAAAATGCAAATCAAAACCCCAATGAGATATCACCTCATGTCTGTTAGAATGGTTATCATCAAAAAGGCAAAAGATAATAAATGCTGGAAAGAATGTGTAGGGAACTCTCATGCTTTGTTGGTAAAGATGTAAATTGGTACAGCTACTATAGAAAAGAATATGGAGGTTCCTTACAAAAAAAAATAGAACTACCATGTGATCCACCAATCCCATTTCTGAATACTGTATCAAAAGGATATGAATTCACTATGTCATAAATATAGATGCACTGATGAACTAGCAGAAAGAGAAAACAGGAAAACAATTGCATAAGTAAAATACCTAGGAATAAACCTAACCAAGGAAGTGAAAGACCTGTACTCTGAAAACTACAAGACACTCTTAAGAGAAATTAAAGAGGACACTAATAAATGGAAATTCATCCTGCGCTCTTGGGTAGGAAGAATTAATATCATCAAAATGGCCATCCTGCCTAAAGCAATCTACAGATTCAATGCAATTCCTGTCAAAATACCAACAGCATTCTTCAACGAACTGGAACAAATAGTTCAAAAATTCATATGGAACCACAAAAGACCCCAAAAAGCCAAAGCAATCCTGAGAAGGAAGAATAAAGCAGGGGGGATCTTGCTTCCCAACTTCAAGCTCTACTACAAAGCCACAGTAATCAACACAATTTGGTACTGGCACAAGAACAGACCCATAGACCAGTTGAACAAAATAGAGAGTCCAGATATTAACCCAACCATATACGGTCAATTAATATACGATAAAGGAGCCATGGATATACAATGGGGAAGTGACAGTCTCTTCAACAGCTGGTGTTGGCAAAACTGGACAGCTACAAGTAAGAGAATGAAACTGGATTACTGCCTAACTCCATACACAAAAGTAAACTCAAAATGGATCAAAGACCTGAATGTAAGTCATGAAACCATAAAACTCTTAGAGGAAAACATGGACAAAACTCTCTTGGACATAAACATGAGCAACTTCTTCATGAACATATCTCCATGGGCAAGGGAAACAAAGGCAAAAATGAACAAGTGGGACTATATCAAACTAAAAATTTTCTGTACAGGAAAGGACACCATCAGTAGAACAAAAAGACATCCTACAGTATGGGAGAATATATTCATAAATATATTTTATGGGGTTGACATCCAAAATATACAAAGAGCTCATGTAGCTCAAAAACAAAAAGCAAACAACCCAATTAAAAAATGGGCAGAGGAAGAAAACATAGTTTAGTGCTGTAAGAGAGCAAATGTAGATGATCAGGTGTGTGCCTGTAGACTAAGTGTTAATCCAAGCTAGACAAGGGCAATAAAATATCCACGGATGCAGAAGATTTCTCTCAAAACCATTTAAGAACTTATTCACTATTGTAAGAACTTGTTCACCTTGGAAGAACTTGTTTGTTATGCTTCAGAAGATTGGAGACTGATGAGAATTAGGCTTGGGGTGGATTAATGATTGTACATTGAGCATTGAGTCCCCTATTACAGAATTTTATTGTTGTTAACAACCATTTGATCAATAAATATGAGAGATGCCCTCTCAAAAAAGAAAAAAATGGGCAGAGGATAAGGACAGACACTTCTCCAAAGAAGAAATTCAGATGGCCAACAGGCACATGAAAAGATGCTCCTCATCGCTAATCATCAGAGAAATGGAAATTAAAACCACAGTGAGATATCACCTCACACCAGTTAGGATGGCCACCATTCAAAAGACCAACAATAAAAAATGTTGGCGAGGATGTGGAGAAAGGAGAACCCTCCTACACAGCTGGTAGGAATGTAAATTAGTTCAACCATTGTGGAAAGCAGTACAGAGGTTCCTCGAAAAATCACCAAAAATAGAAATACCATTTGACCCAGGAATTCCACTCCTAGGAATTTACCCTAAGAATGCAACAGCATAGTTTGAAAAAGACATATGCACCCTATGTTTATTGCAGCACTATTTACAATAGCCAAGAAATGGTAGCAACCTGAGTGTCCATCAGTAGATGAATGGATAAAGAAGAGGTGGTACATACACACAATGGAATATTTTTCAGCCATAAGAAGAAAACAAATCCTACCATTTGCAACAACAGGGATGGAGCCAGAGGGTATTATGCTCAGTGAAATAAGCCAGGCAGTAAAAGACAAGTATCAAATAATTTCACTCATTTGTGGAGTATAAGAACAATGCAAAAACTGAAGGAACAAAACAGCAGCAGACTCACAGAACCCAAGAATGGACTACCAGTTACCAAAGGGAAGGGATTGGGGAGGATGGGTAGGAAGGGGAAGGATAAGGGGAAAAAGTGGCATTACGATTACCACACAAAATGTGGGGAGGGTGACACGGGGAGGGCAGTATAGCACAGAGAAGACAAGTAGTGACTCTATAGCATCTTACTATGCCGATGGACAGTGATGGTAGTGGGGTATGTGCTGGGGATTTGATAATGGGGGGAGTCTAGTAAGCATAATGTTGTTCATGTAATTATACTTTAATGATACCAAAAAAATATATATATAGATGCACGCCCATGTTCATTGCAGCATTTATTTACACTAGCCAATAGCCAATACATGGAAACCACCAAGTATCTATCACTGGATGAATGGATAGAGAAATGTGGTCATAAGTAGAATGGATATTATTCAGCCATAAAAAAGAAGGAACTTCTACCATTGTGACAACATGGACCACACTTGATGGCATTATGCTAAGTGAAAAAAGACAGAGAAAGACAAATATTGCATGATCTCACTTATATGTAGAATGTAAAAAAGCTGAACTCGGAAACAATATTTCTGTTCTTATTCCATTGGCAAGAAATGTGTCCTATGGCCCTCTACCTAATTTCACAGGAGGCTGGGAAATATAGTCTTGTATAAGTAGAAAGAGGAAACAGTGTAATGAGCACATAGCCTTGTCTGTGCTACAGCAGGTCACCAACTCTTTATACAACAATAGTACCCAAATTTGGTTTTAATATGTTATACATAGGCAAAGAAGAAGGTTGAATATCTATAGACTAAGCTAATTGATTTTTTCTTTGTTTGTCCTTCCTTCCTTCTTTCCTTTCCTTCCTTCCTTTCTTTTCTTCTTTGCTGTAATAATACATGGTTTCAATACTTCTTTTATCCTAATGATATTTTCCTAAACCCAGTCCAATACAAAATAAATATTACAGTAAGTGGTGAATAACATTTTGAATGATATAAAGTACTTATTACATGTATTAGAAAACACATTTCAGTAAAACTTTATGTAACTCTTTAACTCCTATTCTTCCTGCCTAATGCTTCCAGGGACAGCTGGCTTTCCTCAGAGCCTCATCTTTTCTATTTCTGAGTCCAATCCTGTATCTTTCTTATGTATGGTAAGAACATCTTAAAAATGTAGATAATATATTTTTATAAAGATACTTTAAAACTAATCACTAATTAAACCTATTAACTTACAAAGTATTTTTTAAATCAGTACCTAATCTCTTCCAAGAGTTTTCTTTTTACAGACTCTTCAGTAGTTCTTAAAACTCATTTCAGAATTCTGGTAACATTTTTTTTTTTCCTTAAAGGATACAAGTAATTTTTTTGGCAAAACTTAAAATGAAATGAAATATAGCATTTTGGGGGATGACATTCCAGGCAGAGGGAACAGTGTGTGTAGAGACATAGGATCATGAATATTGATCATCTATAGCAGTGGTTTTAAAAAGTATCGTTCCTGGATCATGAGCATTGCCCGAGATCTTGTTAAACATTCCATTATTGTCTTTTCTAGGATAACCAACCATTCTGGTTTACCTAGGGTTATCCTTGTTTTGACACTGGAAAACCTACCTCCTGGGAATCCTCCCTGTCAGGAGCAAGCTGGGACAGTTAGTTACCTTAGGTTGACTATCCCAGGTCTACTGAGTCAGGAACTTGATGAGGGGCTCAACAATCTGTGTTTTTATATTCCCTATTCCCTTCTGGTGGTTCTGGTACTTGGTAAGTTGGAGAACCACTGAGTTAGGGAACTACTAGGAGTTTGGCATGGTTCAATGATGGGAGTATGGGATGAGGGATGAACTTGAAGAGTAGGCACAGACTAGGCAATGAAGGCCTTAGTATGCTTTATTAAAGAGATTTTTCCTTTAGTCGATAAGTATTAACTCATAAACTCAAGTGTTTTTAAATTACAGAAGATATATTTTGAGTTGGCTTTTGGTATAGATAAACCCACTATAACTATTTCTAATATTCCATTTTATCTATAAATAAAATTAAATTGTATTTTAACAAACTCCAGTTAGCAAATTAATGTGAAATTAAATATTTAAAAAGATATTACTAATTTCATATGTACTGGGTCAGTCTGTTTGTATTTGGACAGTTTCTGAATGACTGTTCATTTTCCAGCTTATCTAGATATTTGGTGTGTGTGTGTGTGTGTGTATACATATACATATATACATTATGTAAACATAGATGTGTTTTACATAGACTTAATCCCCAAGTTTGAACTTTAATAACTTTTATGTACATGTCTGGAAATAGAAAGCATTGCTAACTCATCAGATATATATTTGTTGTAAGGTGCTGGGTACAGGATTATAAATGCAGTTAATGAAATCAAGAACAATTTTAGAATTGCTCTATTTCGAGTGTTCATAAAACTACATTGAAATAGGTATCATAAAACATGAGGCCTTGAAATATGCTGTGCTTTTGTTGTATGTGTAAGAAATATCTTTTAGTGCTTCTTACCACTTCTCTTATATATTGCTTTATTTGAAGTATGAAAGCTTTATTACATAGGTGCAAAGGCTTTCCTCAAAAACCTCGTATTTTCTAGTTCTAAATCCAGTCCTGGTTCTTATATATGGAAAAAAAATGTTAAAAATGTAGATAATATGCATATATAGAGATACTTTTAAATTAATTACTATTAAACCTATTAGCTTACAAAGTATTTTTTATTCAGCACCATATCACCTTTTTGGAAGCTAGAACCTCTTTTACAAAGCTTTAGTTAATACCTGGACCATATGTATTCATACCACATTTTTCTTTCTGTAATTTGTGTTTAGGAAATGGCTGGTTTCTTGATGATGTTATAATCAAAGATCCTACAACAAACCATGAATATTCCTTCCTCTGTCACAGGTTTGTAGGTGTGCTTTTACACTGAACAAATTCATTTCATATTTGTCGGTTGCTAGTTCTTGCATTTGGAAGAAATGGGTAGCTTATTTGGTTATTCCTGATCATTGATGCTTTGTTGAATAGCCTTTTTGAACATTTATTTTAGGGGCTGCTTCTATTTAGAAAAGTATCCATTATGTTTACCATCATTCCTCATGATACAAATTTTAAATCTTTCTGGATAAATTAAGATACATTTTAGAATATGATTTTTCTTTACATATCAGAAGGATGAAAATCTCTGGCAAGAAAACTTATTCCCTTTGGACTAGGTCCCAAATTAGGTTCAAAAATAATAATTATACAAAGTAAATGTTGAATGTGGAATATTTATATAATAATGACATTGCTGACCCACTGTCACTAGGTCTTGATTTCTGGCTTATTTTTCCAATAGTGGTGATAGATTTGCTCTTTTTTCAACATTCTTCTGCCTCTTTCCCCATGGGACAAATAATAGCCATTTATGAAATAACCGATTATTTTTTTACTGTAGTTGGTGGTCAAAGAACAGGATAAACTAATTGGTCCAGTGAATGTAAAATCTATGACCTTGGCAGGCTAATTGAAATTTACCTCTGGATTAGGGAAAGACATATTTCATCTTTATCTGATAGCATCTTCTCCTACCTCCCTTGTTCTTTCATAGTCATTGTGAGCATTTCCTTTTCCACTTTGTATTCTACTAGATATTCATGACTTTTTCCAATTCCCATTATCCATTATTTCTGACTTGGGTAGATAATTGCCCATAATTAGTATACATACAAAGCCAGAATATACTCAGTTCCCTTTTCTTTCCACAGATGGCTGGATCAAGGAGAAGATGATGGTAAAATTGTCAGAGAACTCTATGCCAGGGATAACAGTATCATCTTTGCAAGTGAGTGTCATGTATATACATTTCTTGGAAAATTGTTTTATGGTGATTGAGGAAAGCATTATACTGTTGGAATTAATGGTCTTCTCTTTATATCCTCAGGACAGAAGCTAGAACTTAATAGAAAAGAAACAGTAAGATTTTACTTTTGTTCTTAAATTATTTGGTACAAACAGTGTACAAATAGCTACTTGGTGTGTTAAAACAGTATATAATGTTTAGTAAGGAGTATTTCTTAGTAATTTTTTCTCTGTGTCTTCTCACACTGGTATTCTTTGTTTTTGGTTTTTCTATTTAGTGGGCTGCAGAAAGATGGAAGTTTATGAAAGGAAATACTCTTCAATTCTACAACAGGCTTACTGGAGGATTTGTTCGTCTGCATCCAGACAGCACAGTTGATGCAGTTGGAGAGGAGACAGACAAATATGGTAAAATCAGTGGGCAAAGCATGTGGTGCTGTGGTAGTTTTGGGAGCTGAACGAAGGCAGAAATGTAGATCCAGTTTAATTTACAGTTTTGCTTCCTCTTTTTCAGATGGCTTTACATCAGTTTTAGGCCATTTAAATAATTATCTATCTGCATTAATACAAATGATCAATACACAACAGGCTTTAAATCTGGGCAATTTCACTATGCAGAACAGTATACCATGAGAAAACTTATATTTGATATCAATTAAGAATGAAATTGTAGGTAATTACTGTTAACTATAATTGATATAATATTATAATTCATATAAAGCAGCAATTGTAGCTCTTGAATGGAATGACCACCTAAGGAAATAAGTTGGTTCTACTAAATATCAAGTACCTATTCTGTTCAAAACAGTGTGTTAAATAATTTGAGGGCCACAGAAATAAGTAAAACATCATTCTGAATTTCAGAGACTCATAATCTAGTGAAGAGGACAAACACAACAATTCTAAAGATGGTTGTTGGTAGCTATTGTCATAACACATGTATAGAGGAAAAATTAGGCAAAACCCCCTATCAGCATGTCATGAAGTCATGACCATAAGAATTAGTGAAGAGGGAGTAAACTGATAATAGTAGATTTTTGACTGTACACCCAAACCTCTAACTCTTCTTGAAATTTAGACATCTACTAAGAAACACAGTTTGCCTGCTACATCTGTGGATGTATACTTCTAGAAACTATGCTGTTCAAATAACCTCTAGGATATGCTAGAGACACTGACCTATAGCATTTTCTTAAAATGTAACCTTCTCCCATTTCACATTAGAGATCCCAGGGAATAAGTCAATTTTCTCAAAATAAAATTGTGGAATTTTATTTTAAAATTTATTTCTCAAAATAAAAATATGTTGGAATCGAAAAATGCTGCCTAGTTGTCGCCTTCCAAAATTAATCTATTCCTAGGTATTTTCTTTACCTATTGGTTCCACTTGGGATCACTTATCTACTTAGATCTGTCAAAATGGCCCTTCATATCCTGTTCCCAGGAGTCCCTGCTGCCAATGCTCATGCTCCCTTTTCTTTTTCTTTTTTATTTTGTTATCATTAATTTACAGTTAGATGAAGAACACTATGTTTACTAGGGTCCCCCCTTCACCAAGTCCCCCCCACAAACCCCATTACAGTCACTGTCCGTCAGGGTAGTAAGATGCTGTAGAATCACTACTTGTCTTCTCTGTGTTGCACAGCCCTCCCCATTCCCCACCCCCCACATTATACATGCTAATCGTAATACCCCCTTTCTTCTTCCCCTCCCTTACCCCTCCATGCCCTCCCATTCTCCCCAGTTCCTTTCCTTTTGGTAACTGTTAGTCCACTCTTGGGTTCTGTGATTCTGCTGCTGTTTTGTTCCTTCAGTTTTTCTTTGTTCTTATACTCCACACATGAGTGAAATCATTTGGTATTTGTCTTTCTCCGCCTGGCTTATTTCACTGAGCATAATACCCTCCAGCTCCATCCATGTTGTTGCAAACGGTAGGATTTGTTTTCTTCTTATGGCTGAATAATATTCCATTGTGTATATGTACCACATCTTCTTTATCCATTCCTCTACTGATGGACACTTAGGTTGCTTCCATTTCTTGGCTATTGTAAATAGTGCTGCGATAAACATAGGGGTGCATATGTCTTTTTCAAACTGGGCTGCTGCATTCTTAAGGTAAATTCCTAGAAGCGGAATTCCTTGGTCAAATGGTATGTCTGTTTTGAGCATTTTGAGGAACCTCTATACTGCTTTCCACAATGGTTGAACTAATTTTATATTTCCACCAGCAGTGTAGGAGGGTTCCTCTTTTTCCACAACCTCACCAACATTTCTTGTTTGTCTTTTGGATGGTAGCAATCCTTACTGGTGTGAGGTGATATCTCATTGTGGTTTTAATTTGCATTTCTCTGATAACTAGCGATGTGGAGCATCTTTTCATATATCTGTTGGCCATCTGAATTTCTTCTTTGGACAACTGTCTGTTCAGCTCCTCTGCCCATTTTTTAATTGGATTATTTGCTTTTTGTTTGTTGAGGTGCATGACCTCTTTATATATTTTGGATGTCAAGCCTTTATTGGATCTGCCATTTATGAATATATTCTCCCATACTGTAGGGTTCCTTTTTGTTCTATTGATGGTATCCTTTGCTGTGCAGAAGTTTTTCAGCTTGATGTAGTCCCACTTGTTCATATTTGCTTTTGTTTTCCTTGCCCAGGGAGATATGTTCATGAAGAAGTCACTCAAGTTTATGTCCAAGAGATTTTTGCCTATGTTTTTTTCTAAGAGTTTTATGGTTCCATGACTTACATTCAGGTCTTTGATCCATTTCGAATTTACTTTTGTGTATGGGGTTAGACAGTGATCCAGTTTCATTCTCTTATATGTAGCTGTCCAGTTTTGCCAGCACCATCTGTTGAAGAGACTGTCATTT